TACTTTCTCTTCTAATAATGGGCCTTGAGCCATTCTCTACTGCTCAGGTCCGCTTCTGTTTCTTTGACGTGTACTGTCTCTTCTAATAAACTGCTTTTTCACTAAAAAAAAAAGTACATCTAACTCTAATAATAGTAAGCTCTATGAAAGCAGCAATTTGGTCCCTTTTGCTCCTCAATGTGTTGCCAGCCCCTAGGAAGACTGCATGGTACACAGTGGGCACTGAGTAATACTTACAGAATTAAGGAATTAGTTGCGTTGTTAAAACCAGGTTCTTAAGAGATGCCAAACCATAACATTTTTTTCCTTTCATTTATTTCCATTACCAATTTTCATCTGTATGTTTTTCAAGTTTTGTATTTATAAAAACCCAAGTTACAATAAAACATGTCCAATAATTTTTTTACATTCAGGTCTAAATAAATAGCTATTATTATTAAGTAAATACTTGTTCTTAAATTGACCTAAATACAGTGCCTGAATTTTAAGTTAGTTTGTTCTAAAAATCAGGTGCTCACAACTATTCTGCAGTCCTATAAAAATCTACAAAATGTGAACTTTCACAGTTCGCCACTTTTGAATAGGCTCCTCCTAACACCCCGTGTTAACTAAGCTTTGAACTCTGTAACATACCTCCTGAACGCAGGTAAAGAAATTTAGAGCCAAAGTGCCACTTTTTCTTCCTTCAAACAAAATAACCTCAATTAATGTTAAAAACAATGGAAGCACCTCATTTTTTCTTACACCACCACATTTCCTTTCTTAGTTAAAAATATTCACCTACAGGATTGGGAGAGGGGGTTGTCACTTTGTGAGGGGTGAAAAATGTAACTATTGGATTGTTTTATACACCTGAAACTAATTAAAAAAAACATATATATATATATATATATTTTAGGAAAAAAAAATTCACCTACATATTTAGTTAGGCGTAACTAGTCCACACAGTAATCTTAATATTGGCAGAGTAAACTCATGCTTTCATTTTTTAAAAATTAATTCTAAAAAATAAAACTTTTAAATAAATTTTTTTATATTTATAAATTGATTATACCCACAATTTAAAGAAAAAAATGATCAAACTTAGTATGTATTTCACTGTTATTTATTATAAAAGCAAATAAGTTGACCAGTAGAGGGCACTCACTGGAAATGGGGAAAGAGCTGTCAAGTCTTAAGAGAAATACACTTACAAAATTGTGTTGTGTACCTTATTTTAAAAACAAAATGTTTCACTAGAACACTAAAGCAAGCTAATATATATATAACCATATTACTGGTTTAGAAAAGCTGAAGTTTAAATCTTGATTGTGTTAGAAAATCTAACAAAAACCTTATTCAGGCACTTGAATTTTACAATTGAAGGGATGTTTAAAGCTATATGTAATACATATTAGGGTCTCAACCTCAGCACTAAAAACTGACATACTGGGCCAGGTAATTATTTGTTGTGGAGGCTATCATGTGTACTACCCACTATAGGCAACAGTAGCAGTTCTCTCTCAAGATGTTAACAACAAAAATATCTCCAGATATTGCCAAATGTCTTGAGGGGCAAAGTTACCACACACCGCTCACTGATAACTACTGATACATATGTATAAAACTAGAAAATAACAGCTTTTGAGATTACATAATGTTTTTTTAACACCACCCTTCAATACTGGTTTAAAATTACAAATTTTCTCTCTATAATCTAAATACCTTATTTAGCAAGTAAAATAAATTCGATAATTAACATGAAAGATAAGAAAATATAGACACAGATAAATCCTGGGATTATAGCTCAGAGCACACTAAAGATGGAACAAATAAATCCAATTATGAATCCATTCTTCGTTACTGAGTAGGAAACTATTTCATCACTTATTGAATTATAAGTGGCACATTAACAGAAGCATGCAGATGTCAATGAATTAGAGCCTAGGAAAAAAATACTTCTTTCTATATCTGTTTTTACTAGCATATTATATCCAGTAGATACACAATATATATTTGCTAATTGGTCAACTGTTCCTTCTTATCTCTAGTCTACAACTACTTGCATTTTAAGACAAGATTTTTCTTTTTCCATCAAGTTTTCCCTTGCTAAACACATTTCAGAGAACATGTTTTGATAATAGCAAGTGATCTTCAAACTATAAAAACATATATTTCTATTTGGGGAATTGCTTTGAGTTTTTAATAATCTTGTATTTCATTATCTGTGAAGCATTTTGGTAGACTTCATAAAAGATAAAGGTAAAAATCTTTCAGAATAGAAGTTATCATGTGCATAGACTCAAATATAAACATGCTCCGTATACCTGTGTCATATTTGTCTAATTCTATTTATCTCTGCCATTATGATGCATTGATAAAGTTCAAATTTTGTTATACTGATAAATCTGAATCAGCCTCCAATATTAAATATTTCTTAGCTTGAAGGCTGACTTTTCATTTTTAAGAAGTTATACAAGGGTCTAGTGGAAATTCCACTTAACTTGGTTTCAGAAAACTGAAAATGCCATCACTTACTAGCTAAGTATCCTTAGGCAAGTTACAACCTCTCAGAGACCATTTTTATCTATAAAATGAAAGAAACAATGACCCTCTTCCTTATCTCATAAATTTTTGCAAATTCTAAACCACTAGAAAATGTGGTATTACTTGATTTAAATTTTTTTTCTCAATTTCTTTCCATTTGTATTAACGTAGGAAAACTGATGAGAATTCCAAATGTGCAAAGTCTATGTCCTCTCTTTCTAACTTAATTATTCACCATTCAAAGCCTAATAGCAGCAGTGATATCCCCATCCTACTTTTTAACACTTTACAAAAAACATCAAGTCAGCATTTTTGCTTAAATATTTATTAAAATAAACTACTAAATTCTCTTGCCTTTCTTGTAGTTGGAACTACACACCAAGAATTTAATGTGTCAGTTGCCTCAGAGACAATCTCTGATACCTTTTCCCAGGTGGCTAAACTAGTGAGGGAACGTCAGTTTCAAAGTTCACAGGTAATCAATGTTCCTAGAGTCAAGTCTTCTGGTTTGGCAGAAATCATAATCAGTGTTATGGGTTTGAGTTTATAAACTTTTTCTACGTTCTTACCAAATAAAGGATTAACTTTTAGCTTTATTTCTTTATATTGCACTTTAACACTTTTGGCCAAAAGGTTTCCTAACCTATTTTATCACATTATTGTGTGTGTGTGTGTGTGTGTGTGTGTGTGTGTGTGTGTGTGTGTGTGTGTGTGTGTGTGTGTGTGTGTGTGTGTGTGTATGGCATTCACGACCTCTGAAAGAAACAGTATAATGGAATTCCTCAGATTCTGAGAGAAGATGAAGGGTACTTCTACTAAAATCATCTTCCAAAATCCCAGGAAAACTTCCATGCTTAACCTGAATTCTACTTAAAACTTCCTCTTTACTTCTGATTTAAATGGTGGAGCAGGCCAAGTAGCCTTGGCTTTAGAAATGAGTGAACTTTTAATCATCCTCGAAGGAAAAAAAAAAAAAAAAACCCAACCCAAAACAAAAACCATCCTTCAGCACTGAACTGACCTGTCAAGAGAAATTATATAGACTATTATATAGGCGGTCCGCTTTAGTTAGACTCTTCCCCTTTACTAATGCAAATTCTTAAACTTAGCACCCAAATAAAAGTTGCTTCTATGTTTAAATCAAATTTTTGCAAATGAGTATTATTTCTCCATTTTTTCCTGCAGTACCAAAACTATTTGACATTTTCCTTATAAAACTTATCTAATCAATCTTCAAAGTCTAAATTGCATAAACATCTTGCCAAGGCCACCAATGCCCTGAGTCAACCTCAGTGCAAAGTATTTCTTGAGACATTACACAGCTAACGGGGCATCTGACAGCACAGCACCTTAACAAGGCCTCCTCAAGTTCACAGCATGGGACTCAGAGAAAGCTCTGGGAAAATTTTCAGAGCTGACTTAAAAAACTGGTATATCAGATCTAGAATAAAAACTAAGGGGCTAGAATTGCTTAACCTGGGGTAAACAAGTCTAAGAAATATAAAACTTAAGTCTATTTCAAAGACAAGGCAACATACTTATTTCCATCTCCACTGCTATTAAACTTAACGTGAAGATTCAGATTATGCATAAAATATAGTAATTACTACATTATGGAAATAAGTTAATGAGGACAGTTGTGCCATCCCCTCCTGCAGGTCTTTGGGATTAAATTAATCCGTATCTCCTTGATACTACCTGACCTCTCAAGGTCACTTCCATGCCTTTATCATTTTGCTGTTTGCCTTTACTTTGATAATTTTTTATTAAGGTAAAAAGGTCTCAAAATTATTCATTAATCAATTTATAATAAAAACAATTCTAGCATTTCCTTGAGTAGATTACAAAAGGGTTGCAAAGGATTGGTAGTGGTACCCTTATATATCACCTGATATATGTACACACACACACACACACACACACACACACACACACACACACATGCACGCACGCACGCAAAGAATGAGCTTTTAAAAGTACATCAGATAGCTGTAGGTTCTCCACCACTTCAATATAAAGACAAAACAGGGACATACTTAATTTTTTTTTAATCAACCATCAAATGATTACATTTCACCAGTACAATTCAACTTAAACATGTGACACTGAAATACCAAAGAAATCCATAAATAGCCACATTTTTTTAAAAAAAGACTGTTAGGTACAGATGAGATGTAAATTCATTTTCACCTTCTCACAAAACTCTGAAATATACTTCCAATCAAAACGCACAGAGAATGAACGTCATGGATCTTGAGATGCTCTAGAGAAGGGCTCTCTATGTCTATGGTTACATATAACTTCAGAGTAAAGCCTTGAAACCTAAGTACATTTCTGATAACTTAAGAAAATTATTTTCAGTATAATTATCTGGTAATGAACAGTCACAAAAAAATGATCAAAGAAACCTTTTTTTGGTACCCAAAGGATGGGCCTGCACAAATCAATATGCATAGTATTAAAACAAGATTTACCTCTATCGTAGGATCATATTCATCCACAAAGTGATTCTGAATTAGCTGTATCGTCAAGGCACTCTTGCCTACGCCACCAGCTCCAACTACCACAAGTTTATATTCAGTCATTTTCAGCAGGCCTTATAATAAAAATAATGAAAATGTGACTAAATTAGAACATGTGTTGGACATGAGGTTAATATATGAACAGTCTATACCTTTTAACACAAATTCACCTTTACATGGAAAATTATTTCAAAATACCTCACAAGATTCAATGATAAAAACTTCAGTTGACTATAGATGTGTATTGTAATAAATTGGACTACATTTACGAACTCCCACATCAACATTTGAGAAAAATGCATTCAGAGGACAAAGTTCTTTTATCTTATATTCAGGTTGTTCTATCTAAACAGCAAGTGTGCTGCTCTGCAGCAGTTAATGGATCTCAAAGGAACATGTCATGACTTTACTCAGTACAAGTGTCTAGCACAATGCTCTATACCAGGTGGACACACCCACACAAAACTGTTGACAGCTATCTCTACAATATTCCTAGTGGGCTCTGGCCCCTAAGAATTACAAGTGGATATGCTGAGTGTGTTTGTTGGAGCCAGAGCTATAGAAGACTTTTTAAAAAGCATCATTATAGTTAGTTCTCCTGGACAGTTAGCAAGAATCAGACGCCAGAGATGAGGGGTTGGGGGAATTGAAGTAAAGCCAGACTGTGTAGTGAGGAAATAAAAATTGAGACACCAAAGCAGGTAAGCACAATATTTGATGACATTGTAATCTGTAAAATATCTACTGGGGAAAATAATGGTGTAAATATTAAGAGAACTTTGAGAATTTTGAACTATTCAGTACAGGTGATTTGATCATCAGTCATAATATATAATCCTATATTAGTGCTGAAAAATAACACTTTGCACAAGAAACATACAATTATATAAAATTTAAATATAAGCACTACTTTTAATGAGAGGATTTTATTGGGTTGTCGGAAAATTCATGACATATTTCTTGTTTTGTTGCAAAAATGTGTCATGCCTTTTCCAACAACCCAATAAAAAGGTATAAGTGAATATTTCTAAGTAATCCCCGTGACTTTTATTCTTTCTATCTTGTACATTGTCTCTCAACAGTTGCAATAATGACAAACTGTAAGGTTAACAGAAGAAAGAAAATATCTTTTAAGTCAGCTGTTTCAAGTTTTTTTAAATAAAATGAATTTCTTTAATTTTATCTCCTTTCCCTCAAGAACTAGGATATTATTACAAATAAAGAACTGCAGAATGGCAGTAAATGCACAATAATTTATCATAAGTAGTCCCAAGTTAGTGAATGTGCAGATATAAACATTATATACATGCAGCATCCTATTTACTGAAGACCAAGAATTATTCAATAGGCACCAAAAAAAAAAAAAAAAGATAACATGGTTTTCCAAATAACATACTAACCTCATCACCCTATTCATGAGCCTTCTCACCAAGAGCAGACAGGCTAGACAACTGTTATAACACAGACTGTTATTATTCCAAGCCCTGGCCTCCTCTGTGCCACCTAGCCTTACTTGCTCTTGTCTGGGGCCACCTTGGGAGCCACTACAAACATGTATCTTATTCAGTTTGTGCCCACTTTTTATTCCAAATATGGGCCATAACAAATGTGATAGATAAGGAGAATCACACCAAAATGCATCCTCTAGCTCCCTGCCCACCAAACTCTGCAAAACAATTTGGACAGTCTAGAACAGTTCTCAAAATGTGGTCCATTATGGTTCCTAAGGCTTTTGGGGAGGGAGGTCAAAGAGGTCACAGTTTTTATCAAAATACTACTACAATGTTAATTACCCTTTCCACTCTTGTTCTTTCACAAGTATACAGTAGTTTTCCAGATGTGTGATCACACTAGCCTGAGTGCAGAAGCACATATAAGGATTCAGATGCCTTTATTAATCCACATAATAAAGGAGATTTACAAAAGTGTGAAACGATACCACTCTTCTCACTAATTTTTGTTTTTATTTTGAAAGTTATTTTTCATAAAAAATGCTATGTGTTACCAAGTAATGGGCTTAATTATTTTTATATCAAATGAATTAATAAATGTTTAAAATTCTTAGTTCTCAATTCTATGATAGTAAATATTGACATCACCCATATTGGGATCTTCAGTAATTTCTAAGACTGTAAAGGAGTCCTTACAAGCAAAAACTCTGCTAACCTAGGAGATCCTGGGGACAGAGTGGAGTAGAGCTATATACACGTGTGAACTCTGAGACAAACACACCTTCTGGTCTATGTGCTTATCTATCCAGTGGTTATTTCTGAAAAAGGAATCCTTGAATTGGATTTTAAAAATCAAGTAACATTTAAGTCCACTAGAGAGAACTGGATCCCCAATTAGTCTCACGGGCGATTATATGCCAGAAGGAGGCTTCCTCACCCAAAGCTACAAAAGCTAGAACCCAACATTTTTGGTCAGGAAAAAAATTCACTTTTATGTCATAAAACTGAATTATCATCTCATCTACCATCTGTAAGCAGACAGTATTGATACCAACCATATTTGATGTCTATAGTCTATCACATGGTCGAGTCAGCATTTTGGACATTAGTCACGTAAGAATGACATCACTCGTACAGTTAAGTCTGTCATGAGGACTTATGAACAGACTTTTTGCCTTTGTAATTTCTTTTTAAATGATTTTCCATTAAAATGTAACATGTATACTGTGTAAAAATTATAATATACCTTTCTGTTGGTAGCCCCTTGTTTTGATGGAATATTAAGGTTTAAGAAGACTATAGTTTATTTCAAGCAGTTGGCTGGCAGACTGCTGCAATTAACTCCTCTTGTTAAGTCCATGGGAAAAAAAAATTGTGTGAGTGCTGTTTGAGAGAACCGTAATAACTCTTAGGATGGATGTCAAATTTGTAAAGATGAGGGTAATACAAAAGAGATAAGGGAAAGGACAAGAACAGGCAGATTAAACTTCAAGTATGATTTTGGCTATTACTGTGTACACTCACACGGCAAGAGAAAAGCCTACTCAACTAGCAAGGGGAAAAAGCCCTGCTTCTGCTCTGCGGGTTTTCTGCGTGTGTTTTAACTTGACAAAGCAAAACAGACCTCCTGGGATTAACTTTTTCCTTTCACTAAGTCACAGGCTCTACGTTGTAGGGTGTTGGCCACCTGTTCTTCCACCACCATCTCTACCTCCACCTCCTCCTTTGTGGCCACAGCAATGTCACAGCCCATACATGGGGGAGGGGAGCAGTCAGGAACTCGGCTGCAGATGCATTTTTCCCCCCCCAAACACAATAACCTCAAACAGTGGTTCCTAAGCACTTTCCTATACTCTTCCAAAACGTGACCTCCCCCCTTACTCATGGATCCCCTTCCACACTGAAAAGGACCACTATCCGTCCAGACTGCGCTCGAGGGAGAAGTTTATTCCTTGATCCTAGAGATGCTAGATGCAGCAAGGAAGGCAGCAGCCGAGGCCAGCCGAGTGCTGGGAAAGGAAGAAGTGCGGGAGCGAAGGGAGAGAGAGAGAAGGGAGAGAGAGAGAGAGAGAGGGAGGGAAAGACGACAAGGGGGAGGGGAGACTGGAGCGCAGCGGGAGTAACCCCCACCGCACCCGAGCGCCCGGAGGGGCAGCCCGCCCGGCCCGCGAGTTTCTCGGCGGCCGCCTCCAGCCGCGGCTCTAGGGGAGGAGGAAGGAAGGGGTTCCCCGTCCAGGAAGCAGCACAAGCGGCGGCCGCCTCCAGCCTCACCCTCCTCAGCCCCGCACCGCCTAGTCCCCATTGCCCGCGTCGCCGTGTCCCCGCGCCTCCCGCTGCAGAGCCCCCCTCACCCACCCCCCACAGCGTCAGCCAGCCCGCTCTCCCGGGCTCCGCGCCCGCGCCCCCTCCCCGCCCCTCCCGGGACCCCTAATTCATTCACTCGCCGCCGGCCCCGCCCGGCGCGGGCGAGGAGGGTCGGGACCAGGGCAGGGGCCCAAGAGGGGTGGTCGGCTCCGTACCTCTCTCCCGCACCTGGGAGCCGCCGAGCCTCTGGCCCCCGCCGCCGCCTTCAGTACCTGCACCGCGCTCGCTCCCCGTCCGAAATGGCGGGGGCCGGGAGTCCTGGCCGAGCAGCCGCCACCGCCACCGCCGCCGCCGCCACCACCGCCGCCGCCGCTGTGCCTCCGCTGCCGCGGCCGCCGCCTAGGGAAATCGAGCACCGAGCGCACCGATGAGTTCTGGGCGGCCGCAGAGGGCAGAGCTATCGACGCGCTCGGCGCTCGATTCCTCCCCAGACGGGTGCGCGGGGAGGGAGCGGCTGAGGGTGGTGTGGGAAGAGGGAAGAGAGCGAGCCGACGAGCCCGCCGGGGTGGAGGAGGGGGCCGGGCCTTTCCGGGGGAGGGGGACGGGCCAGCGGAGGAGGAGCGAGAGCCGACTGAAGAAAGCGGTGGCTCGAGTGGCGGAGGGAGGGGGAGCAGGACAGGTGGAGCTGGAGGGTCTGGGCGGCGCCTCGGCGGGGGGCACCGCGGGACCCGAGCGG